TTAAAAAAACATAAAATACTCTGAACAATTGTTTTTCAGTGCTCAGAAAAATTAAAAATTGATGGCAGATAAGCGGTGCCTAGTACCGCTGAGTGTGATGCTGATGCAATATGTAGGCATAAGCTCAACTCTGCACCTTGCAGCTGCAGGGAGCTGTGGGGAGGCTCTGAAAACAGGTTATTGATAAACTTCAACGGCGAGGAGCTGCATCGCCCGCTTTGAGCAGCGTTAGTCTTTGTGCAGAGAGGATCCTGACACCGATCTCGGCGATAACCCAGCTAGAGAGCGTGTGATCCGAGCTATTTCCGTTAAGCATGTTGATGTTACAGTAAATGTGACATGTGGGTGTTGATTGAAGGGGCATCATTTTCAGGCCTGCTTTGGGCCAGCACCCTGAAGAGCGAGTCACTTCTTTGTGCTTGCTCCCCAACTAGGCTGAGCTCTTTCTGGATGTGCCTTCAAGACAGCAGCGACTGTGTGCGCAGACCGGTGTCCTCGGCGTGCTGCGGCTAGCTTGCGGGTGGCTTCCCGTGCCTGGGCGCCAGGAGCTGTGCCCCCATGGCAGCCCCCAGGCAGCCCCAGCTCGTCCCAGAGACGGGTGACCTCTGAGGTAGCCCGTGTTTTGCCCTTAGGTGGGCACAAGGGCAGGCAGTGGCTGCAGTGGGGTGCCGGGGCAGGCAGGGCACCCATCCACCATCTGCGGTGAAGGCACCGGCAGCGCTCGCCTTAACCCTCCCATTATTGATTTGTGCAGAAACCGACCGCGGAGGGGAGGTTTCACACGCAACGCTTTGGCCCATTACCAAACTGATCCCTCTTCCCCCTTTCTCTGCCTCCTTTTGATACTGCGGGACAGGAGAAATAAGGAAGAGAATAGGTTGGCAACTTTCAGATCCCTTCTTACCTTGGTTCTGCAGTGCAAAAAAAATACAAGAAAATAAATTACTGCTGCCTGGACGCAGCCTCACCCAAACCCCGCGAACAAGCATCCACAGTTTTGTCCGCAGAAGCCTGGGCAATGATTTTTAGTAACACAGTCTTTTGCAGTATTAATGGGTATGATTTTGAGACATCTGACAGGCAGAAAGTAGTTAGCATGTGCATTTGCTTTAATACTGGGCATAAGAGTATTGTTTGCACGGGGCACATATGCTCTAATGATGTCACCACGCTGAAGTAGGAGCGCTGGTGGTTTTGCGACAGTGCCTTTATGGAATTAAGGAGTTTGTCCACTGTATTTTGGCATGGTAGGCAGCCAGAGAGTTTGGAGATGCTGCTTAGAGTCCAGCCAGCAAGTGTAATGCTTTTCAAACTAAAGCGAGTTATTTAGATTGGCCAGTTGCATTAATTTCATGAAGCCAGCAGATAATGACAGTGTCACCCACATCCCCGACTCGCTGTGCTCCCTCGGCAGGCAGTGCCAAGGCAATCCTCCTCAGAGGAATCTCTGGGTGCAGGGAAAAGGCCGGGCACACCTTAACACACCTGGAAGAGCCAGGGCACGAGTCCTGGCTGGAAATAGCTTGTTTGCATTTTTTTTTCCTTTTCCCACGTAAGGGAGATGAGATGTTTTCCATTCTCCTTTTTTGTGTGGCTTGATTTTTCCTTCTTAAAAAAAAAAATTAATTTTAAATAAATACTCTTGAGGAAACACCCTCCTCCCCCCAAACCCAGTTACCAACAAACAGCAATAAAACCACAGCGTTAAATTCAAATAATGTGAAGCGACTCATTTGAAACCTGCAGACACAAGTGGAGTCAGAACTTTAGATTAAGACTGGCCTAAATTGCCCCATTGGTATTAAAGGACTCCTTAAACAGCCTAAGATCTTGGCTGTTGTATTAACCGGGCATGACCCGATGCGTTATGGGCTGGACTTGCAGGCTTTTTTCTCTTTTCCTTTGTGAGTTTTAAATCTCTCCTGTAATGTTACTTGAATGTAGGTTTTTAATGGCTTAATTGAGTTATCAATAGGAAGCCTTTTCTTTTTTTTTTTTATTCCGAGTAAAAAAAAAATGCAAATTGACATGGATAAAATGCATTTGAAGATCTATTCAGTATTTTGTTTTTCATTCTTTTATATATGATTTCCACATTGTGAATAAGGGGATGTAATATAGCTTCTGCATTGTTGGGTGTACGGCTGGTCTCATGCTTGGTGATTATTAAGCTCAAATCAGAAATAGAGTCAAGTAAAAAAATCTTTTGATAGTTTGAAACCCAATTACTACTGATCATGAGAGCTCCGCGTACCAAGAAAACGAAAAGCTGAATTTCGGTAATGTGACGACTGCCAAAATATGAAGGAATACCAGATGTTATTTTAAAAAAGTGCCATTGCAGAGTCCTTGGAAAGAGAGAGTGAGCGAGTGTAAGTGAATAGGCATATGTGGATTTAACTAATATTCAAATGAAGTGTAGAACTGAAAAGAAAGAATTCGCAACAGTTTAGCTGTTTAAACCTCCTTCACGTTTCCACAGATGCCTGGTCAGGACCCTTATCAAATGCAGCAGTTTTGCTACCTTTTCTGAAGAGCACAATTTAAATCGCAGGAAAAAAAAATATCCCTACATCAAAAAGATAATAAAGTTGAGATCTGTGCTTTTCTTTCTATTTGTTATATGTATATAAATGCCAGAATTCAGCCTTTGTAATTTGAGAGACAGACTTTAATCTGAAGGCTTTTCAGGAATGTTAGGTGAAACTAGTAACGAGCATTTTCCCCCTCTGCCACCTTTTTTCCTTACGACCCTTGGTTCGGTTCCTGTTTTCGTGTTGTCTTTTCCAGCTCTTTGTCCCATCTCCCGCGTGTGTATCTGCGTGCCTGTGTGTGCCTCTCTGTGTTTTTTTTTTTTTTTTTTAATATTTTGACACTCTGCTCCCCCTTAATAGGAATTCTTCCTAGAAATAGCGCGCACATTTCTAAAGGACCCTTTTCACAGTCCTTTTCTTTTGGCTCTAAAATGATGTATATGTAATTGGTAATTAAAGGTGCAAGCTCTCTTCAATATAAACAATATTGCTCAATGTTAGATCATTAAAGGGAACCACAGCACTAAATAATTACCTTTTGCATCGTGACACAGTGTTTGCAGGCATCCGCTCCTTCCCAGCAGTCCCTGTTCAGCACAGGGTTATGGTTACATTTTCACTAAGGCAAGGAGGTATCTTTTCATGATATAAATTGGTGAATTAATTACGTAGTATTGTCTTCAAACTCCTTTTAAACGTAGATTAAGGGGAAAAAGGTAATTAATGGTTTTCAGAACGAGTATTGCGCTGTGTATTTGGTAAGCTTGGTGTGAGTTAGGAAACCAAAGCCTTCCCATGCCCATCGTCTTGCTCCAGCAGGATGGTCCGTGCTCAGGCACTTCTCTGGGGTCCCAGTCCTTTTCCTGCTGCCGCTCGTGCTGCTGCTGCTCTCTGCTTTGCTGTTAGTGAGCTCTGATGCAACTTGTAATACAGCTGGTAGATACACCGATCAGTTATTATTCTGTAAGGAAAAACTGGGGGAGATTCTTTTTCTAAACTGCCTTTTTCAAGGCTCAACCATTTTTGTTGCCAGCTAATACATTTCACCTTCTACCTCTTGTCCCTTTCCTATGTGGGTTTTTTCTGCAATTTGGTGAAGAGTGGGACAAAACTGCTTTTGTTTTCAGCCAGGAGGAGAATCCAGATTTGGATTATAACATCTGTTTATCTCAGTCTCACTTTGAGATATTTGTGTGACTTGCTTTCTCCAGGATATCCATAAGCAAACCGCTCGGGCTAATAGAGAAGATTTTTCCTCCTATTTCTGTAATCCTGATTCGATTAGAGGTCTCACTTGCTGATTTACATACTGTTAGTTCCTCTGTTTTGTTCAGCCCAAATCCTATAGTCCTTGCAGAGGCAAAACAGCCTTAGGCAAAAGTCAGTGGAAATTTTGACCGAGTAGAGACCAAGGTTTGTATGATTTGGCAGTTACACGGCAGAACAAGAGATAACAAACCAAAAAACACGTTTTGCCCCAGAAATGGATTGTGATCCATAATTATTTTATAATGTAAGAATACAAAATTACCATTAAAATACCCATTAAAAACACACTGTGTTTTATTAATTGTGAAATGAGAAGTTACTCATTTCTTAGACACTGATGCAGGTCACTCAGAAATGCTTTCCCAGTCTTTGGGGCTAATGGTATGAAATCCATCAGGTCCGTGGGCAAGATTTAAACAAAAAACTTTTATTAACCTATATAGCAACTGCAGAGGTATTGGACATCAGGAAAATGAGTGGAAGATTTCAGGCTCAGCCAATATTCCAGCATGTTAAATAAGTGCCTCATTCCCTTTCCCACTGTACACAGTTTTAAAACCCCTTAACTTCTCATGAGACCGTGTCCTGCTTACCTTACTCTTGCAAACAGTTTGTTGAATTCGTGCTAATGGGTGGTCATTTAACCTTGCCGGTATCTTTGTAATGGGACAAGGTGGTACTAATTTTGCATGCCACATGGAGCCTGATCCTGCTTGTTTGGAGCATGCAAGCATTTTTCCCCCTCTCTCTGAAATAGGAGGACAGGTTCGGGTGCATAAGATTTGCTGGATGGGGCCTTGGCCAGATGGCTGGGAGATGTGGTGTGAATGAGAAGGTGGGATAAAAAGAGAGGAACTATTTCAGAAAGTAACTCGGGGCTCGAACGTTTGCAAAATGGCTCTTTGCTGATATCCTTGCAGCGCTGGCAGCAGTGCGAAGGAGCTGTCAGGAAAGCTATGCCAGGTCAGCCTTTCCATTTTGTTTCAGGCAGGCTTGGTTGCAAAATATATTGAAATCATTCTGGGAGAGCGGAAAAGCTGAAAAATAAAAGATCTAATCAGGGTTGGCTTCTCTGGGGGGGTGGGGGGAGGCTGGGCCTCTCATGATGCATCCTTCAGAGTCTGTGAACATTCAAAGCAATCTCTTTCTCTTCTCCCCTCGTCCCTTTCCTCCCTCTTTCTCCTTGTCCATGTAAAGCAGAGGCTGACCATGTGGAACCGGCACTCGCCGACGAGGATGAGAGCCTGGCAATAGCAGAGCCGGGCGGCATCAGCATCGCCGCAGGCGGGACAGACCCCGACTTGTTAACCTGTGGACAGTGTCAGATGAACTTCCCGCTGGGAGACATCTTGGTTTTTATAGAGCACAAGAGAAAACAGTGCAATGGCACTGGTGGTGCCTGCTATGAAAAGAGCATGGATAAGAGCAGCCCTCCCCCCTCCTCACGCGCCGAGCTCAGGAAAGTGTCAGAGCCAGTGGAAATCGGGATCCAAGTCACACCCGATGAAGAAGACCGTCTTCTCACGCCTACAAAAGGAATTTGCCCCAAGCAGGAGAACATTGCAGGTACAGCATGTTTTACACTCAATCAACTGCCTAGGTAATCTTTTAACGAGAGCCCTCTAGAAAGTGCCATGAAACACAGGCTTCAGTAACAGGTCTTTATAGGAGCCATTGGTCTGGAGGATCCTCACGGCTATGCAGAGCTCAGCAGGGCTGTCCACTCCATGTTTAACTCAGTGTAGCTATCTGCAGAGGGCCAGCTCCTGGAGAGAGCGGCTTCTCAGTCCCCTGGGAGAGCCACAGGGCAGCCTGTACATGTAGGAAAAAGCAGAAAGTTGGGGTCAGAAACCATTTCAGGAGCATCCTTAAGCAGGTAGCAGTGGCGGAGGGATAGGGGACTTTGGTGAGATGCTCAGTCCAGTCCAGTTCAGATACCCTTTGTCACATGCAGACCCACTGGGAAGGACCAAATCCAGACCCCACTGAAGTCAGTGGAAAAATCCTCTTCCCACTGACTGCAGTGGGAAGAAGATACGGTTGCGAGGGCTAAAGCAGGGCTTCATTAAGTCCTTGCTTGTTCCTTCCGCTGGGCTAGATGTCAGCTTCCTCGTCTGCATTGCTGCCTGTGCCGCCTGTCCGAGGTCTCTGCAGATGGCTGGAGTTGGGTGGGCGACACCGCCATTCACATGCACACCCCAAGTGGGGGTTTTGAATGAGGAGACGAGCACAGGCTGGCCTGGGTGAGCAAATTGCAGGCATCTCTTTTTCTAAAACTCTCGTATGTGGTGCAGTTACCATTTACTCAGCGGACCTCCCTGGTTCAGAGGTGGGCAGGCAGGAGATGGTATCCACCTGGGCAAGCTGCTGCGCAGCGGTTCCTGCAGAGCGCCCAGCGTGGGGCTGCTTCCGTCGTGCAGGGCGTTTCTTCCCTCTGCAGTGGTGTGTTCCTCTGTAGTGGTGAAAGGAAGGCTCTGCTCCCTGCTAGTGAGTGGGGGTTTTATGTTACACAGCAGGATCTCCCCTCAAACGGGCCTTTTTTGTTCCAATTGACTGTATCCCATACAGAAGACCAGTGGCAATTTGTCTTTGCTGCCGCTATCCCCATTTCTCTAGGAATTATCCTGTGGCATTAGATCTGATGGTCCAGGATCCTGCCTGTAATAGAGATGTTCCCATGAGGGGATCCCCAGAAGACTTGTGAGAGGCTCCTATCTTTACAACTGAAGCTTAAGAGATTCCCAGTTTTAGCACTGCAGGTCTCCGAGTCAGTTCCTAGCATCTCTGACAGGCTTGGCCATCATATAAATGAGGATGTGGGCTTTGAACTGCTGCAGTCTTCAGATCTCCAGATGATCTGCCTCTTGGGAGCAGGCATATGACACCCATTGAGTATCTTCTTGTCTTCTAGGAATCTTTTTCGGGTGCAGTCACCATCTTGGCATGGGGCAGCTGATAGCTTTAGGGGCATTAGCGGTGGCAGCCTGTGCTGTAGCATTGTAAGCAACCCTACTGTAAGACCTGACCCCGTCCTTTCCTCATCCTCTTTCAGCTTTCCCCATCCTTTTGCAGTTGTGAACGCATCTCCTGGCAGAGATGACTACCTCATGGTGTAGCAGCTTTGAGGGCTAGATTTCCTTCCCATTTGGTGAGCACAGAAGTATTCAGGACCTTCTCCTCCAGCCTGCTGAAGGCCTCCGGAATGGTGCTGAGCACTCTCAATAGCTGTTGATCGCTGTGTGAGCTGATGGCGCTCAGCCTCTTGCAGAGGGTGCTTAGTAAGGTTTGTCCAGGAGACCTACGCTGTAGTTGCAATCCAGATCTCATCTCTTATTAATCTGTGCCCAAGTTCAGTCCATAGTGAAATACGTCAATGGCGATGCCCAGTGCAGAAGGTGCTGTCCCATCCCAGCTTCTGGGGGTCAGCATCAATATAACTAATGCTTTTGCCATGCAGAAAATCTGCTCAGGGAGGGGGTGAAGGCGATGTTCACATGTGGAAAAGGCGTAAAAAAAAAATTAAAAGCCAATCTGGAGCACCTAATCTCTTTCAGACTAAACTGAGTATCAAATGAAAATATGTAGGAAAGATTTTGAATTGAGAAAAATAAAAGGGTTTATCACTTGATTGGCATTTTCTCAGCAGTGCACGGAGATAGGGACATCCACTAAATAGTTCAGTAATAATGCTTTCTCAATTAGGAGCCCAGCTCCGAGATAAAAAGGTGCAGCGTCCTTCCGTATTTTTTTTAATAGCAGCAGATAGTTTTCAATAGTAGGATAAAAGCCTCACATTACAGCCATGGAGGGTAGCCATGAAAAACCCACAGAAGTCATTCACTGGAAAGGCTTTAGTGGGATATACCAAACCCCTTATTTATATTTCAATAGAAAGGCTTTCTGCATTAGCCAAGAAAATCAGAATCTGCATTTAACATTAAAGGTATTTCCCAGTGAGCGGCTGTAGAGCATTGTTGTTAGATTTGTTAAAAAAAGAGACTAAATACGATTTCATAAAAGGGAAACTTAATCTCTAAGGCAGCTTTCTCCCACCCCGCCACCCCCTCCCTTTATTTTTTTATTTTTTTGGTAATAATGCAACAGCCTACAGTATTTTTACTTTATATGTGACGAAAGATATTCTTAGCCTTTCTGTACTGCGACAGGAAGAATGAATTTCTTTATTCCACCAAAAAATATGTAAAATAATCCCTTAGAAGTATGGGGAGATATGTTTGTTCAAAGCATTTAAAATGTTATTTTAATCAAAGGCACAAAACACTCTACATGCTGTGTCAGCTAAAGGAGACCATTACATTTTAACAGCAAATCATGCTCTTTTTTCCCCTCCAAGCCAGCCCCCCCCACTTTGAAACTAACTTTTTTTTCATTAAATAAAAAGGCGAAAAAGATTAAAGAATAAAAAAACTTCAGTGGCTCAAATGTATAAAGTAATTTAATATGGTGGAAGCATTAATTATTTTAGCTTAATTGAATTCTGAGGACTGCAGTAGTTGCATTTTTGTAGACAAGCTCTGTTTATTATTTCTTTGTGTAGATTAACAGTAAAGGAAACATAGATAACTTTCAGTTATTTATTGTAAAATAAATGTGTCAATTCATGTGTAAAGCAAGCTGTTCAAAGATAATTGAGTCTTTATATTTGAAGAGGGAAACCAGAAATCACCCACTCGCCACTCCGGCTCCCTGAAATGTGCTGCCACCGCTGCTGCCCTCAAATAGGTTTCAGCTCCTCTTCTTGATCTTGTGTTATTTTTGTAGACCTTCTTATTTGGTCGAAATGATTTGTGCGGCCTTCTGCAGTGTGACTAAGCTGCCAAACCTTACAGCTACCCATGGCTGTATGTAGTGAGGGTAGGTCAAGCGCTGAGATTGGCTCTGCCATTGCACCTCTCTTCCCTCTGGGCGTGAGGATGTTGGGATGCAGCACTGCGCCGAGCACTCACCCTGGCGCAGGATGCTCTGGAGTCCCGAGGTCTTTCCTTCTCTCTTTTTGCCTTTCTTTCTTTCTTTCTTTCTTGGTAACTCTGCTTGCTCTGGTCACTGAATGCCTCTTGACCATGTAAAAGACCTTGTGCCGCTTCGAGAGAGGCAGGTAGAGCTCAGGAGTCTGCAAGAATTTGCAGGCACGCAGTGCAGATCTCCACCTGACATTTCTAGATATCAGTAGAGACAAAGGCAACTTTATCTCTGCAATCAGCTCTTAAAAACCTTCTGATAATGAAGTCTATCATCTTTCCCTGACTGGTAAATCCACACTTTTCAAAGCGCTTTCACTTAGTTACCACTGTCCGTAAGGTGTGTGGTAGCGTGTTAGCTGGCACTGGGAGGACGTGACTTGCTTAGGAGCAGTTCGTCCTGTGAAACTTTTTTTTTTTTTCAAATTGGCTGACCTGTTTGAAAATCAGTTCTGCCTCTCATACAGAGGGTGTGATAGTATCGAACAGATGTACCAGATAGTCGCACAGCAAAACACGGCCAGGCCAATGAGTTGGCTAGGAGTTATCAGTCACCGCTTCTTTCAGTTCGCCGCTGGCAGGTATTTTGGAAAAAATTAGACCACTGTTGTATTTTATACCTCTTTTTATCTGTTATATTTATCAGATCTTGGGCATAACTGGGTGACCTGTCCTGGCTGAAGAAGGCCCTGGGGAGGTGGGTCCCGCTGTCTTTTGACTGATGGTATCTCCTGTCCTCCTCACGTCCCTGCTGGGCTCACAGGCCACCAAGCTGTTCTTCAGCACGGCTCTCTGAAATGATCCGGATTAAAGAAAAAGTACCCATCAGCTTGTTTTTAATACTGGATGCTTTCAGAGAACCCCGGCAGAAGAGAGAGCCTCAGTGGGGCAGGCACCCCTTGGACTAGACCTCCAGCTTCACTGGCTGGCCTGCAGGCTCCGGGCAGCATACCCTTGTGGACAGAGAACCACACCAGCAGCAGAGGTTCATTAAGACAGCGTAGTTAATTTCTGCAAAGACAGTGCTAGGAAAGGGGAGGGGGTTGATTGGAATTCCTCGTTCATCCCATCCCAGCCACCAGTGCTGGGCTCCACACATTATGTACTTGAACTAGATGTGCATCATGAAAAAAGGCTCCCTGTCAGAGGCAGGATTTAACTGCAACCCCTGCTCCATGAATGTTCATTTCAGGCTTTTGAATGGTAAAACTGCCAGCGAGGGAAACTAAATAACTCGCATGTGCTGGAAGCCAGAGATAAACACCGCCGCAGGTTGCCATGAAATAGGCTATTTGATATATTTAGAATTGTTATTTTTCTCCAAATTAAGATTAGTTAAATCCATGTGTGTTGTGTGAGTGATTGTTAACTCAATGGCATGGATTATCCTTTTTTCAAATCATGACAGCTAATTATTATTGCTGTCTACCCTGAGACATTCACTTACAATGTACCATTATGGACCCGCGCACCCATATTAACTGTAGGACTCAGACAGCCATCGTGATGCCTTCACATGTGAGGCGAGGAAAACGTGAGCTGGAACAGCCCGAGGCCTGCAGCAGTGATGTCGGGCCGGTTGGGAAG